TATGAGAAAGTTTTAATTCTGATTTATATCTGGTGTCAATGTCTGTGGGTGACACTTCAAAACTAAAGTGCAGATTTTGACTTATAATGTCTTATTGCTCATCATCATAAATTAAAATAAGGATGCATGTCAGCTGAGCGGAAAGTGAGCGGTCCGCGAATGAAATTGAGGACCGTGAGGGAGGGGGTTGGTGTACCGGATGAAAGTGAGGACCTGGGGGTTCGCTCACTATTTTGCTGCCCAATGGTCGCGCCAGCCTTGAACACACGTCAGCCACAACGTGTAAGTATTTCAAATAATCACGTGCATTAACGCATTAATCTTGACAGCCCTAATATATATATATATATATATATATATATAACAAAAAAAATGCTGCTGCATTTGCCCAGTCCTATAGGTTCTAGGTTCTCTAAGAAATGAATTCAACATTTCTTTATTACACAACTTTATTTACAAAATTGCACTTTAAATTTATATATATATAAAAAAAAAACATCAATAAAATGTTTTATCATTTTGTTTATGAGAGGTTTGGTCACTTAACAATGGACATATTTATTATAATATAAACTTAAACATTTATTATTGAGGGACATTATTAAGATGCAATACTTTGCAATTATTACAACAATAAAAATTCCAGACAATTTTCGGCAGGCTGCCAGTTGTTTATAACAATGAAAGTGGTTAGTCTGATGGCGTACCAAGACCTTCAGTCTACTTAGACAAAATTATTTTTAAACAAGCAAGAAAAATGATTCTGGACCCTTCTCGTGTGCTCGATCCAGAATCTGAACTACTCCCATGAGCTCGACATTTTGCACTTCCTAATGTTAAGACACAATCGAAATAAAAACTCCTTTCCTTTCCTCTGGCAATATTCAGTATTCCAAAACCATGTAAACCTTCTTCATCTTCAGAACGCAAATTAAGATCCTCCATAGACAGCAAGGCTTTCAACTCATTTAAAGTTCTGATAAATACACACACACACTGAAAATACACACAAACTGTGATTTAATTAAAATAACTGTTTTGGGTGAACTAAATGCTCTTTTACTCCTGCAACTTCAAATAGGACTCAGCAATGATTCAAAAATTTCAGAAATCGTAGGTTTTTCTCTAAATTGGATGTACATGTATGTGGCTGCATCAGTCAAAAGTGTTTCTATACATATCTTTTTTATTTTTAGTCTTAAAATATAGCAATAGGCTTAATTTTACATCACCTTTTGTAAGTATATCATCTTTAGTATAACATATGAACTTAAAACAGGCGAAATGCCCCGTCTTGAACAAAAATATAGTTAAAATTAAGTATAAAAGACACAATACACTGAAACAATACTTTTTTTACATGAAACATTCACACGTCATATACAAACATTACATTTTCACATCCGTCCCTTAAAAAAAGTGCTTCAGGAAATCCTCAAGTTCACAAGCTGACCTTGATTTTAAAGTACGGCAGAATGATTAGAAGAATTAGATAGGTTAAATCAAGCCACCATATCAATCATACGTCTGATTGTAGTTAATCCTTAGTGTTGTTTTTTTAAAATTGTTCCTCTGTTAAAATGTACATCAGAATTGTAGAATATTCACTGTATATTCTACAGCTACTGCTTAAAGGGATAGTTCACCCAAAAAAATGTAAAATACTCATTTACTCACATGGTTCTAACCATTTTTTAAGCCATTGAAATCCATAGTATAAACAGACAAACAGAAAAATACTATGGAGGTCCATGGCTGTTTTTCCCCCGACATTCTTCAGTATATCTACTTTTGTGCTCATCAGTAGAAAGAAACTCACACATGTTTGGAGCAAATAAACAATGAGAAACGTCTACGGAATCTTCATTTGTTTTGGGTCGAACTAGGACTGCACGATATTGGAAAAATCTAACATTGCGATATTTTTTATTTTGCGATATTTATTACAATATAAATACAAGTTCACCAGATGACTCAATATCTCTATTTGGAAAGAATTTTTAATGTTAGACTGATTGGGACGTAGAAGTGCAGTAGAAGTGCATCTCTATAAAATCTAATAAACAATCTCTACAATTTTTGGGGTCCTCCGACACGTTTTGTTGTGGTCTGTGCTATTTGCTGTGCGTTTCTGTATTCGCATGAGTATTTTCATGCACGTGTTTAGTCAGAGATTGATGAATGAATGTTTACTATTTGCGTTAGAGATCTGCGCGGGACGTTTTTTTTAATCTTGCTCCTGCCTGCTTCCGCCAGGTTTTATTCCGCACCTCACTGCTCCCACCGTATATGCATTATTTGTTCACCCTCTGCCTGCCCTGCCCGTTTTCTACCTGACCTGACCGTTCCCCCTATTTTAGATCTGGTTTTCAAAATCTTACATTAAAATTGGACACTACCAAGAGAGAAAGAGAGAACAGATAAAAATGTAGGTTGTGCAAGAATTGTAGGCTAAATGTCAATTTTGTTTGCCCCTTTGTAATGAGAGTCGAGAGTCGCGTAGCGTGCGGTGAGGTTTGTGGCTGGTGAGGCACTAACTCTTCAAAGTCAGATTTACAAACATATCCACTCAATATATTTGTTAACTACCAATTGTGTTTTATACAGAATATCAGCATTATTTCTATACACATAGCAGGTACAGATTGGTCCAAGGAAGAATGTAAAATGTCTAGTGATTAAATAGGCCCCCCAAAAAACACTCAACTAGATGCTACAGAGTCATTCATTCATTCATTTTCTTCTCGGCTTAGTCCCTTTATTAATCCGGGGTCGCCAAAGCAGAATGAACTGCCAACTTATCCAGCAGGTTTTTTACGCAGCGGATGCCCTTCCAGCCGCAACCCATCTCAGGAAACATCCACAAACACACACACTCATACACTTGGACAAATTAGCTTACCCAATTCACCTGTACCGCATGTCTTTGGACTGTGGGGGAAACCGGAGCACTCGGAGGAAACCCACGCGAATGCAGGGAGAACATGTAAACTCCACACAGAAACGCCAACTGAGCCGAGGTTCGACCCAGTGACCTTCTTGCTGTGAGGCGACAGCACTACCTACTGCGCCACTGCATCGTCGCTGGAGTCAAGACAGCCTATAACAAGCGACACAGCACCTCGGCGGATGAGCACTCTCTCTCATTCACACATACAGCACCACGGCATCCAGAATTTGGTCACTCTCTCTCTCTCTCTCTATATATAAATATATATATTGGCCGCCCACTCAAATTACACCAGTGTTACCGACCACAACAACATTGTTTTATTTGGAAATGTATTCTTGCGCCGCAAGACAACTGTACAGCGATACAGCCGCAGGAATGCAGACCTCTGTGTCTACATAAAATGTAATAACAATCTATAAACTTTTTGGGGTCCCTCGGCACATTTTCATTGTGGTCTGTGCTATTTGTATTGCATTTCTTTATTTAAATGTAATAAATACAATCAAGAATAAGATACGATTAAAATAAAGTGTTTTATCATGTCCCGAATGGTATTCAAGTACAGTAACTGTATGATAAAAATAATAATTCAATAAAATTAATCATAGTTAAGGTCACAAATTGTACAATTTATTATGCCTGAATGTTTTTAAAATCATACAATCAAAAACACATGCAAATGATAAGCTATAATACAAACTCAAAATTGCAATTCCTGCGATGTGACTATTGCTAATGGTCACATTGCGATATCGATGCTGAAATGATATTGTGCAGCCTAGGTCGAACTATCCCAGAGGTAGGGAACCTATGGCTCGTGAGCCACATCTGGCTCTTTGATAAAAAAAAAATGTGGCTCTCCAGCTGTCTCCCTTCAATAACATTTTACAGTTATAAAATTTTAACCATCACCAGAAATTTTTCTAGACTTGAATACATTTCTTATTGAAAAAACAATTCCAATTATTTTTTATTGTATTTTTTTACAGCAAAATAAATAAGCACTCATTTTATGTTTTGAACAAATCAACGTGTGTGGCTCTGTGGATTAATTTGAATCGCGACACCAATAAAGAGCAAACACTTTGCATTTCTATGATAACCTTGCACATATAAATTTAAACAACATTCATGAGTGGTGATGGCGAAATGAAAACATTCTAGAAATTGTCCTTTCTTCATTCATCAACTTGCTCAACATGTGATGCTTCATATTTGTTTATTTTTGAGTTGTCCATGGATATTAATATATACACACCCAAACCCCTGTGGCTCTTAAAAATAATACGCATTTGGCAAAAATAGAAAAAAAAAAGTTCCCGACCCCTGAACTATCCCTTTAATGTCTCTCTAAAGAGAACATTTAATTTGACACAATTATAAATGAAGAGTTCAGATGCAATCTCTAAATGCCGTCTGAAATGTTCTTTAAACATGAGCATTTTTATCAGGCTCCTGTCTGAAGGTTCAGTCATTTCAATATTATAACAAATAATACGTTCTTTTCATTCATTCATTTTCCTTCGACTTAATCTCTTTATTAATTTGGGGTCATCACAGCGGAATGAACCACCAACTTATTGGTTTTAAGCAGCGAATGCCCTTCCAGCTGCAACTCATTACAAGGAAATACACTCATTCACACACATAAACTACAGCCAATTTAGTTTATTTAATTCAACTATACCACATGACTGTGGGGGAAACTAGAGCACCTGAAGGAAACCCATGAGACCACAGGTACGTTCTTTTCATGGTCTTTAAAATGAAGTGACTCAACCTAAATGTAGGAGCTTATTTTTTGACAGAAACTTTAGACGGCACTGAAAAGTTTTTGTATCTGAACTCTTCAACTGATATTTATAAAAAATAAAGCAGAGTGGGTCTTCACTTATCCACCAGAGTTTAACAGAATAATAAAAAGTAGAAAAATATACTTATTCAACATTATTTGTCCCATCCACACAGGCTTGCAGTAGAAAAGAGGTGCAAAAAGATTACAGAAACAAGCTGCTTTTTTCTTGAGAATAATGTGCGCTGCTGAATCTTGCAGGATAAGACCGGTGAGATTTATTGAGAGAGCAAACCTCTGCAATTATCTGATGTTGTGTTTAAAGGGAGTGCAGTGTAAATGTCTTTGGTGTGAATCCAGACGCTCTTAAGCTGAGAAGCCGGAGCTCTTGTAGGGAAGGAGGTTATGGAAAGGGGCGAAGGGCGGGGGGTTAAGCTGCACAGGGGCTGAATCTGAAGACCCTCCTGGAGAAACAGTGGATCCTGCTGCCGGAGATGCGTAAAGAGACGCTCTCTGAAAGAAACAAAGAGAAAATAGAGCATATTTTTTCGATTTGTGTGTGCATTTTGATTTAATGAGGTTTTTAGGAAAGATCTGCAACACGTTTCTTGGATGTTATTGTGTGTTGCTTCAGCTGGGCTCCAGAAGCGGTTGAATCAGCTTGTTGTCTGCAGTGAACAGAACACATGATTGTGTTAAATCAGGGGTGTCCAAACTTGATTCTGGTGGGCCGGTGTCCTGCTGAGTTTATCTCCAACTTGCTTCAACACACCTGCCTGGAAGTTTCTAGTACTGTATATCTAGTAAAGCTGCGGTCACACGGGACTTTTCTCCCCATAGACTTCCATTCATACGCACGCGAATGCGCCAGACCGAAATGCAAGCTTGTGCAACAAGTTTCGCAGTTCGCTGCGTTGCAAGGTTCAAGCTTGGTTAACTCTTCTGACCTGTGAAATTGCATCACTTGACTGCGTGAGACCAATCGAAGATTAAAACATCACCTTTCTGGACAGAAATTCAAAATATGGAGCAATCGCTCACTTTTTAAACATCTAATCATCTTGTTTAATCCCACCCCTTTTCGCAGCGTGGTACTAAAGTATTTTGCATGTGCAACCTCTAGTGTGACTGCAGCTTAAGAGCTTGATTAGCTGGTTTAGGTTTGTTTGATTAGGGTTGGAGCTAAACTCTCCAGGACACCGGTGTTTTGTCGATTTAATTTGTCCTACTTCCTTTTAAAAAAGTAGGTAGCATATTTTTATGCAATATGCTACCCATCTGCTTCTGCTACCTGTGTAAACTTTAAAAGCTGTACTATGGTCCTTACCTACCTAATCCCTAATCCCTAACCTCAACCAAGTTTAGACACCCCTGTGTTTAATAGTTCATATATATATACTTGTTTTTCATCAGAAGTCCCTGAATTTTCCAAGTTGTTGGGAATATTTGATGAAAATTAAATGTTTTTGGTTCCCCTTAATGTGTTAGTTCAACCAAAAAAGAAAATTCTGTTATTAATTACTCACCCTCCCATCGTTTCAATCACCTGAGAGCTTCGTTCATCTTTAGAAAACACATTTAAAATATCTATTTCATATTGTATCAAATGGTCTGGATGAACAGATAAAGCAAAAGTGACTACATAAAAAAGTTGAATCCTTAATTTCCCTAATGTGTGTGTGGTGCAAAATTATTGTAGGATCCATCATAGTTCAATAGCTCAATGTAAATCTTGGCCCAAATGCACAGTGTCTTGTTGCCTTTAAAATCTCTTTAATGTTTGGTTCCCACATTTTCCTCTTTTTATTTACCTGTATGTACAGAAATGTGGGCGGAGCTAAAGAGTGAATGATGTAGAAGTGGGTACTGTTCATCTCCTGTGGAGGTGGAGTTTAGCCACACTGTGACATAATACTGTGGGGCATTCCAGAACTAGTCATTTTGGCAACTGGTTTCAATATAATCTGTTTTTAGACTGAGAACGTTTTAAGTTATTAAACACACAGGAGGTTTTTAGATTACATTGAATTGGATTTCTCAGTTCATAACCCCTATAAAGTTTATTCACAAACCACCAAAGACATGGGTTTCCACAGTGAGACTTTTATTTGACCTTATTAAGCCATATTATACTATTTATCTGAGCTTATTTGTTGTGTTTGTGATGAACATGGGCAAATATCTGATGCTTTGCGATGTGTGTTTAATTTGGCTAGAGGAGCGTTAGCGGGGGTGCGTCCAAAAGCAACTCCAGATCACTCAACAGGGGTGAAGGTGCTGGGGGATGATCTGGGATTGGTTGGTCTTTTGGCTAGTGTTCTCTGCAGGGCAGGGGTGTGATCAGGACAAGCCCAAAGATCAGTGTACTTAAGCAAACGTTTTATAATGGAATGCTGTGGGATTTTGGACCAGGGTCAGTCTGTAAGAATTCACCGCATCCTCAGGAGATTTGCTAGGCAGTTTCACAGTGATTTCACGGTACACAAAAGGAACTCATCGCCATTGCATTCTACCATAAAAGACCATCGCTGGTTTGACTTTATAAAAGACCTTTGGAAATTTGACTTTCATATTACCCTAATAAGAAATGGGTTAAGTGTCTAAGATTTCCTTGATGTCACATATTTAAATTTTCCACACAGTCAAAATGTCCAGTTTAGCATGGTTGATGCTGATAACAGTTCTAGGTACAGTATTTCCAATACTAAATGCAACCAGTGCTTAACAGATCATGAGAGTTTTTAGAAAATTTTTACAAAATTTACAAAACTTTGCATTTAAAGGAAATTGAGAGTTATCATACCATAGTAACAATATAGGGGAAACACATTTTTCTAACTTCAAATACAATGTTCAGCACAGAATCCCAAAGTTTTTGCACCTCTGGACATTTCCACAACATATGTAAAAAGAAAACTTACAGAACTTACAATGAGGATGTGTAGACAAACCTATGATACTGTATGTCGTATATGTTTAGTTAAATATGCCCTGTGAATAGTTTTAAAGTGAATAAACTGGTTATTAGGGTTTGTGGAAGTGTGGAATGTATTGTCCTACACTGTTTCCTAATCAATCGTCGAAGGCAGAGGCATATTAGAAAGCCATAGTCTTTCTTTTGAGAAAGTATGTGTATTAATAATAGAAAGACAGCAATAAAGATAGGAGACAGTTCCTTTTCTTGGAGAATTATCAATTTCACAATCGGATGAGTATAAAGATCCATACCCCATGGTGTCTTGTGAGCCTTTAGTGCTGCCCTTTATTTGAAAATTGTGGGCATTATTAAGACTGGTTTATGTTTCTGCGCCGAGCGATCGCCGTGACCCATGGCGCATGCCTTGCACGTAGTCCAGGGGTGTAGATTTAGCATGGACGGTGGGGACGGGGATCCAATTTCCCCACCAATTTCCATCAACTATTGAAATATCCACGCCAATATTTTAATTCACTTAAAAAAAAAAAAAACGCTGTTATATTAACCTAAACGTGCAGAATGGGTTGAGTCACATTCTCTCCCTGAGTCGCACCGCCCCCCGAACACATATGGACATTGTGATTGACACACGCAATTGTGAATGGCGTCAGCAAAAAAAAAAAAAAAGAGCTTTTTTCAATGACAATTTTAAATAAACTCGAGTTCGCTACTGAATAAGTCCATCATCATAATGCCAATAATGCTTGTGTTTTCCCCCGCTTTAACACACAGTCTATCATTATAGCAGACTAATGAATTCTGTTAATAATATGCCCTGAAAACTAACTGCAGAATAAACAGCAAAATGCAAAAGTACAGTATATGATCCCTGCCAGTTCTCCTAATCTCTCAGAGTAGCATGTCCAATTGTCAGAAAAAAATACAGCCTGTGCTCCATCTTTTATTAATATCTAAAACGAGACATGTTTCATTTGCACTATGACTAAAATAAACAAAAGTCTTCATTAAACTCTCTTTATCAGTTAATAAACATTATTTTAACATTACTCTATCAGGCCCGTAGCCAGCTTATTGAAAGAGGTGGTTATTTATTTTTTTTCTGAAAAACTAAACCTTTTTTGTAGTCATTCGCTTCATTTTCTATTTAATTATGAGGTATCAATACTGCATTGTAGTGACATTTTGCTGGATTATCTTGTTGGATGGTTATCATAACCACACTTTCTGATGTACCATAAAATATTTCCTACCATTTTGTCAAATTGCTTACCATACTATTTAAAATGTTTATTTACAAATGTGCATTTAAACAGTAAGTTTTTTATTACAGTTTTATAAATAATGAAAATTTTGAATAATTTTTTTTTAATCATATGTCATTACATTTTATTTAGAAATCTGTTCAAACTTTTATTAAATTAATGAATTAATTACATTCTACTTTCCTCTGTAAGAATTTGGCCATATGAAAAAAGAGAACAGTTAAATAATTAATAGTATATGTATATATATATATATATATATATATATATATATATATATATATATATATATATATATATATATATATAATTATTTTTTTTCACCCGTCCCTATCAATGTCAAGTGCAAACCTACGCCCTTAGCGTAGCTGTGCATTTATACTTCTGCGCGCTGTTTGTGTTGCTCTGCAATAACATTTCCAAAAACGGTAGCTGGGAGTAGGTTATGTTATGTTCCTCTGTATCAAGTTTCTTCGCTGGTGTTTTGTTTTTTCTAAACGCTGCCTTGATGTACAAGTAGCTCAAACTCGCTCATTCAGAGCCGGGAACCGGCGGACGTACAACAATATTAATTATAAGGTAAACACAAAACTAAATTTTCCATCTGGAGCTCCTTCATGGGACTCGACACTTGTAAACAATCGCACCATTGGGCTCACGGCTATCAGCACCCCTACCAAGCCAACCAATCACACAGCTTGTGCTACTCTGCAACCATCTGGGAACCTTTGGCATACTCTCTTCAACATACTACGATTTGGGACATACTATATCTATTTTCAAATACTACCTAGGATGGACGGTATGCGAATTAGGAAGCAGAACATGAGTGGGATCTGTATGTGTGTGATGTACTGACCGGATAGAGCTGGTGTCCTGCTTGCGAATTTGGGTCTGTTAGCAGGGGTGCAGTGGGGGATGAACAGTGGGCTCCATCAAAGGAGAACAGAGATGAACCTCCCCATTGGGACATATTGAGACCAATTACTCCTCTCCTCTGGTGAGAGACAAAGAAAGAATGATCATATGGCTTGCAGACACAAAAACACGTCAAAAATGCAGATCGATTTGATGTCAGAATCTCGACATCTACAGTTGAGGTCACAAGTATTCGCCCTCTGGTGATTTTTTTTGTATTGTTTTTGTTTTTAAATATTTCTTAAACAATGTTTAATAGAGCGAGGAATTTTTCTTTTGGAGAAAATCTGATTTGTTTTATTTCAGCTAGAATAAAAGCAGTTTTAAAACCAATTAAAGATTACACCAATATAGGCACATTTTATTATACAAAGGTTACTAAAATATAAGAAAAGTTGGTCACACTTTATTTAATTAAACAATTCACAATATTAGCAAACCCCACTGTTAAAAATGTTATGACAGAGTCAAGACAATAACTATGTTTATGTTGCTTTAACTTATTTTAATAAGTTAATTAAAATATAGGTCTTAACTACATTTAAGTTATACAAAGTTTAACCATATATTTTAGTCAATCTTAATGCTGTCAGTTGAGACTAGAAAAGGTCATTTGATTCAACAAAAAAATTTTAAGGCAGCAAGATTTTTTTAGAGTTCATAATTAAAGGCTTTATTTTAATGATCTAGGCACAAAGTCTAAAGCACAAACGCATTAAAGGCATGTCCGAATCCACTTTTTCTACTTTAAGGATGGAAAAATATGCTCTGCACCTCGGCACATAGTCTAACAGGGTTGTGGTCGTTCTCTTAATGAGTCATGATTGTGTTTTGAGCATAACGCCAATTAAACCAATAAGAGTGTCATCTCCTGTTCCCTTTATCAGTCAGTTGCGCCACACCATGGCACATTTACATGGTGACTTTGTAAGTGGAAAAAGTGAACGCTTCTCTAGCAAGAAAACATTTAAACAAACAATCTGTGAGAGTGTAAAGAATGAGCCTCCTACTTTTGGCCTCTGTACTTTTTCTTTACTTTACTTTTACTCTTTACTCCTTTACTTTTCTTGGAATAAGAAAACGGTGTTGTACACACTCCACTGAAAACATCCAGTAGCCTACTTTTTCATTTTGTTTGTTAAGTGCAAAGATTTGTTTCAAAACTACTTCTAAATTTAATTCTAATTTCCAGCAAATGAATAAATGAACAATAATAATGAAGTGTGGTCAAAAAAACGAGTTATATCCAAACAAACAAAACCTATTGCCCCATATGGTGATGCAAATATCTCCCAAACCCAGCAGGTGGACAAATATAAACTTTTTTTTATTAAAACAAATATAAATACGCATATAATAAATAATACTAATAATAATATTATACTAATGCAAATTGTCGAGAATAAACTGAAAAAATCATTTGGACCAGCATAGGCGCATAACTAACAAGCTCTGCGCTGGACTTTAGACCAGCTTTTAGTTGGTCAATTGCCTGGTCTATTTCAGTTCCTCAAAATAGCAATGCAACAAAAATGCGCCTTAACACCTCTTTTATAGACCAGCACACCCATGATTCCACAAAGTGGTGCAAATGAATTTGCTATTTAAACAACGTGGCGCAAAACATGACAATTACTATTGTGCTGGTCTGAAAATAGCAACAAATCTTGCGCCTTATTGTGCCAGGTGTATAATAGGGCCGTATGACTTAGCTCAATTAACTACTAATTATGTGCTTATTATTAGTTTGTAGAAGTTGGGTTTATTGGAAAGATTTAGGGATTTAAAATATCATCATACTTTATAAGTGCTAATAAACATTCCAAATGACATATTTACACTGGATTTTGTATCCTTAAAATGCATGTAAGCTACACTATCAAAACAACATCGAATTGACATCCAACATTGGCGTCAAAAACTGAACTGTCCTGCAAATGATTTTAACTAGCTTTTTTAGCCAATTTTAGTAATTTTTTGTAATAAACATTTTTCCTCTTTACTCAATTGAAACAAATATTTATTTCACACATATTATTGAGAACATTGCCTAATTTTCTACAGTTGTAAACAAAACATAAAAAATACGGCCATTCTGCTGTCATTTAATCTTTTGTTAATCCACGTTTTTGCTTTTAAACCATGGTGGGATATATTTAACCAGAATGTCTGTCTTGGGATGCAATCATTAAGCGGTGGCTAAACTGGCACAGACTGCGGAGGCATATTTCCTGTAAGTCATACCACATTAATCAAAACCATAAATACATAGCCAAAACCACCCAATCAATACAGCAAACCTCAGAGCTTTAAGACAAAATTAGACCCTGTGTTCAGAACTGTTCAATTCACTTCAACAAAAACGTCAAATACACCAAACACAATTAGGCTTGATCTTTTAAGATCTGGTTTAAGTTATGTGGTTACAATGATATTAGCTTACAGATATGAATCAAAGTGTAAGTACATACAGTTGAGATCAGAATAATTAGGGCCCCTTAATTATTAGCCCTCCTGTATATTTTTCTCCAGAGCAGATTTTTTCAACACATTTCTAAACAGAAAAGTTTTTAATAACTTTTTTATAAAAGGTTTTAACTCATTTTTAATAACTGATTTATTTTATCTTTGCCATGATGATAGTAAAAAATATTTTTTTCTAGATATTTTTCAAGACACTTCTATACAGCTTAAAGTAGATGTCTGCATTCCAAGAAATCTGGAATGCAGATTTCTTGTGGCACGGGAATAAATTTCCGAATACAGCGCGGGAGCGGTCGATAACTGGTGTAGTTTGTAAATGGGAGCAGGCAGCGTAACAATATCGCTCCCGACTCACAAGCAAGCGTATGTGTGTGAATGAGTGAGCATGATGCTGTGTTTAGCTTGATTGTTGCTGTCTGTGTGTGTATGTGTGTGAATGAGAGAGAGAGCGGGATCGGGCACGGCGGGTAGAAAACAATGCGGGTCGGTTGTGGCACAACAAATGCTAAATATTAGCGGAGCGGTCAGGTTCGGACTAAAAACTGTCGGGAGCGGGATTCAAAATTTAGTCCCGCGCAGATCTTAAGCTTAAAGTGCCATTTAAAAGCTTAACGAGGTTAATTAGGCAAGTCATTGTATAATGATGGTTTGTTCTGTAGACAATTGAAAAGAAATATTGCTTGAGGCGGCCAAAATAATGACCTCAGAGGTTTTAAAAATTAAAATAGCTTTTATTGTAGCCAAAATAAATCAAATAAGACAAGGTATCCATGGGGTCCTAAAGTCTTAAAATGTCTTAAATCACAAAAGCTCAATTTTAGGCTTAAATCTACTGAAATATTGTGGTGTAGGTCTTAAATCTTTTTTAACAGGTCTTATTTTCCTTTGTTCATGTATAGCTTTGCAATCCGGCCACTAACACTCATATAATCACCCACAATCCATCTCAATAAAACTTTAAACTTTTTATTTTAAAAAAGCATTTAATTACTTTCCTTACTGTAACATTTGCTTAATAGTTCTCCATTTATTTACTGCTGATAATACTGACCTGATCTATATTTTTATATATATATAAATATTTTATATATTATAATATTTTTTTAATAGGGCAAGTGAAAACCTTTCCCAACTGGGATATTTAAAAAATCCTTAGCATTTAGCCCTCTAAGTCTAAAATTTCACTCATAATGGGCTTAAAATGTCTTAAAGTTACCTTGGAGACCCTGTAAGACTTTATACAGAAGAAAAAGTATTATAGGAAATACTGTGAAAAATTCCTTGTTCTGTTAAACATCATTTAAGAACAACCGAAATATTTGAACGAGAAAAAAAAATGACAGGAGGGTGGATAATTCTCAACTGTATGTCTTGTGTTGGCTATTGGGAAAACCCGATCTAGAATGTCTTAATCTAGAAATGACATTTAAGATGACCACACAGTTGGATTAACTGGTCAAAACATGTACAGTACAGACAGATAAATCTGACTCAGTGCCAGAGATATTCAGTTGAATCAGCAGAAACAGTTCATTTATAATGTCTTTAACACAACACAGATTTACCTCCAGGATAAGTCATGTCAAAAAAAACCCTGATGATTCTCTTCATTATGCTCTGCTGACAGATTTCAAAAGCCCTTCCAGCAGCCTGACGGATGTAAAGTGATTAATGGGATACATGGTCCAATTTTGTCCTACTCATGATCTTCAAAGCAGCACTATATTTTGACCCTTGTAAAAAAATTGGACTAAGGTAACTCTTTCCAGAGGAACATCTGTGTCTTCAGCACTACTCGGATAAGATTAGCTTTCTAAACAACGTCTGTCATCTGACATTCTCTGTACAGATTTGGGAAGGATTGGGATGTCTGTGGTTTTTACAATTGTGGACATCTATTGACAAAATCTATTGACATTTTGTGGGTAATGTGTTAAAAATAATCACCAACCAATTGACATAATGTGGGTAATAGGCAAAAAAAATCTATTGTCAAAATGTGGGTAATGTGTAAAAAATAATAACAAAACCAATGGTTACAGGTTTTCAACATGCTTCAAAATATCTTCTTTTTTTGTTAAACAGAATACAAAAAACTAACTGTTTTGGAATTGCTGCACACTGTGATAGCATAAATGATGTTCTGCTTTCTATTTGCCGTATGATCTAGAGAACTTGTTTGCATCGAGGACAATAAGGACAAAGACAAATACACAAACATCCTTGAGCACAATCTGCTTCGGTCAGCCAAACATCTGCATCTGCAGCCAAGATTTACTTTTGTACAGGAAAGAGCAATTCATAAATAAGATGATTTTTCAACACTGGAAGATTACTGGAAACTAAATGCAAATATTTGCAGCTGTTTTTCTGCTTTAATCAATAAACAAAAGCAGAAATAGAAGAATCCGACCTCAACTGAGCACACACACACACACACACACACACACACACACACACACACTTTCTCTTTCATTCTTATTTGAAAATGTCACGTTCAATTAAACAAATGCCAGATACAGAGGATGTTGGCACGTGATGTGAAAGCGTTTTTGTGATTTAAAGAGTGTGATTCTGAGAAAATGATGGAACAAATAAAGATTTGTTGGTTTCTGACTGAAAATAATACACTGCAAAAACGGTGCTGTTAAAAAAACGGACAAATTCTGTCAGTAACACACTGCTTTTCATTAAAATGGTAATGTATTATAGCAAGCAATGCATTTTGGGAAATATCTATTTTGGAAAATAATTTTAGAGAACATTGCCAAGGCCAACAGGATGGCTCAGTGGTTAGCCCTGTCACCTCACAGCAAGAAGGTCGCTGGTCCCGGCAGGGTCAGCAGGCATTTCTGTGTTGGGTTTGCATGTTCTCCGTATGTTCGTGTGGGTTTCCTCCGGGTGCTCCGGTTTCCCCCCCAGTGTATGGTGTGTATGAGTATTGGTTGCAGTGTATGAGTGTGTATGGATGTTTCCCAGTGCAGGGTTGCAGCTGGAAGGGCATCCGCTGTGTTTAACATATGCTGGATAAGTTGGCTATTCATTCCGCTGTACAAGTTTGCACTTACTGTAAGGTATATGTTGTGTGTTTTGAAGCCAATTCAGGACTAAATGTATGCTGTGTGTAGTTTTTCTGTAATTGGTAACATATCAGAGACTGTAAGGGTCTGTATGTGTTTATATATGTTGCATTTATTTATTTATTTTGTATAACTGCAGACGTTACAGTAGACTATTTCACACTATATTATAATCAAATCATGCTCATAGAAAGGTTAGTAGTGAACATTTATACACAAGAATTTATGTGAATAAAGCATCTGTTTTGCTTCCCATATGATATGTGAACGACCTCTACAGCTTTATTTTGACATTTCCTCAAGCGAGAATGACGTCGACTGAAACTTTCTCTCATACACCATTGTACCATTGGTACCCTTTTGGCAGTGGAAACGCAAGCCTGATAGAGGTGACCCATACTGTATCATACCACTTAGTGGAAACAGGCCATAAAGCATGTGTTACACTATCGTCAAGGTGTAATCCATACCTTACATGCACAGTACATGCTATGTTTAGGGTTGAAAGGAATAATTCTGCATAATTAATTGTAATAAATATATGGAAAGTACTTGAAATGTTTAACAATGAAAGCCTAAAATAAAGTAGAGCCAAACAATTCACTTAGTAATATATACAAGTTGAGTGAAATCAGTAACTGATGAACAACTGCTGTTAACCAGCAGAATCCTAATTAGGACCTGAAATAGATTAATTATTGTTTACACTGGGGCTTTTCAGTCAGTTTGTTCTATTAGTCAGATTACTAACAGATAATTTGCTTGCATGTAAACAATAAATACAAAGCTACTAAAAGACAGAACAAAGAAAAAAGCCAACAGAAGCAAAACAGCTGATTTACAGTCAGTTTTACATGAGCATTTGGGATTTTAAATTCATCACGCAAAGTCAAAGACCACCCCATGTGAACTGTCTAAAATCTGCAGCACAATATTTGACCAAAGTTTGATCAGTTATGACAGGTTAGATCCAGGTTTTGAATCAGCCACAGGCAGACATGGAGAGACAGAACTTGTGGTCGGACTGCAACTTTGGTCCAATCACTTCTATTTATGTGCATGCAAATTCGCCAGACAAGAAATGCAAGCTTGTGTGACAAATTTTGCATGCCGCAGCTTTCCAGAGTTCACTCTGACCTGCAAATTGGTGTCCAATAGAAGAGCAAAACCTGACCTCTTTGTACAGAAATGTAAAATATGGGGCAATCGCTCATTTTTTCGGTCAAATCATCATGTTTTATCCCTGTTCTTTTTTGCAGAACTGTTCAATGTAATTTTTGGTTACTCTAACTCTAGTGAGACCACGGCTAGAGAGAGAAGGAGAATGTGCGCAAGAGATAAAGAGAGAATATGTGTGTGCATGTAATTGGCATGGGCATATCTAATAGCTCATAGAAACATGTTAGCTACTTCTTTGCAAAGATTTTTGAGCATTTTACAGAGCTGGTTAAACCCCATCAGCTAGTGTCCTCAAGATTACACAGGTGACGACTCCAGCAACTGTCACTCAGTAATTATGGGCACTACTGATGTTTGAGGGTAGTACTTTTATTTAAAACTGATCAATACCGACCTATTACATATGAATATTCACACTTTAAACAATTTTATTGCACAACTTCCAGCCAGACAAGAATTTCGACATACTGTGGAATAAGCTGAAAAAAATCCAGTAAATGTCACAAAGACTCAGCAGAGAACGATTAAACAACTCCAAAAACAGCATCACCCGATGCCACTTTTTACAAGCCTTCATCAAATTTTCAATTAGTCACAAATGTGAGTTACCAAGTACAAGTACAAGTAGGTACCAAGTACAAGTAAGTTACTAATTGGCCACAAAAGTAACTTAACTTAAAGTAAGTTACTTTAAGGTAAATTATGGTGAGTAAGGTTCGAGTATGTCAGGCTCTTCAATGTAAGAAGAGTAGCTCATTTACGAACTTGTCGCTACTTTACAAGAACAACTATAATCCTTTTCCACCTTTGTTCAAAATTTCATGAAGCAACAAAGCAACACAGTTTCATTGAGAATATGTCTCCATTTTTGCAAAACTGCAAATCCATGCCTAGACATGCCTTTGCTTGCAGTTTCTGGGTAAAACAAACGCTAGGTGCAGTATAAAGACATCTTTTGTTCCTATTATCACTACTGACATTCACAGGGACATACTATTAGTGGATAAAGGATTGCTTTTGCATGGTTAAATTGCCCAAAATAAATAAATAGCACAAAAACTTAAATGTGTCGGCGAGCCTTAATTGAACATGTTCGCCTCATTCTCAGTCATATGAAGGACTTTTCTGGAGTGGTCAGTTTGCTCGGTAGCTCATCTTGTAAGGTGTCATACTTGGGACATGAAATAAACCCATGTTCAAATCCAGGGAAGGACAGTTCGAAAAGCCAGGTAAAAACATGTGAAGTCATGGTAAAAGATTGCAATCATGATTCGATTTTCTCTTCCTTTGCTTTTGAAACACTATTGATTGAGTTTAGGGTTGGTTGTGGGTTAGTCGATCACAAGGTGTAAATGACACGTATGATAAAACAAAGCCCAGAAATGTATTTAAGATTCAAAGTTATGTAGACAGCGGCCTTTAGTAGATTTGACGACAAAAGTTGCAAGAAAATGTCGTCGGAGCAACGTATTTTGATTAGCCAGATTCCTCAAAATCATTTTTGTTAAGCAAAATAAATAAATCCACAGTGCTTTGGAACAACCTGAGAATGAGTAAAGGATGTCATTTTTTGACTATTCCTTTAAATCAATTTAAAATGATGGAGCTAAACTGAAGTGTGAGTGTTCACTCATTCATTCACTCAGCTGACTCACCATGTCTTTGATACTGCCCAGTACAGCAGTGGTCAGGATCCCAAGCACGAAGGCCAGCAGGTTGAGAGCAGTTAAAACCCAGAGTAGAACATACAGAGAGAGCACCTCCTGACAGCTCTGCACACCCACAAACTCATAGTAATTATTCAGATATCCTCCACTAGAAAAGAAAGCAAGTAGACAAATCAGTTACAGATTTACATGACTATTACATGTGCTATTTCATATTTTTTAAAACAGATGTTCTAAAGAAAGATTATATGGGCATGCGATGTGCAAAATATGGTATCTTTTATAGTTAATAATCTGCGTTAGACTTTACTTTATGTTGTCCTTCACTTAAAATAATGACATTCGCTGTTTGTTCATGCTACGTAAAATTTAAAATGAGCTTAAACAACACAAATGTTGAATTGGGGACATAATAATTAGTTTATGCTCAATCTACTTCAGTTTGTAAGAATTAATAATTTAATTCCTTTATGTCTTCAACACAAATTGATAATGTAAAACACAGTATTTTTTACAGTGTTGCAATCAGAAGCTCAGCTCTTTAAACATAGTAGTAATGCTAAATACTTCAACAAAAAAACAGAGGAGAAATTAAGAGAACGTCCTTGTTAGGTTAGCATATCTTATTGCCTTATTGTTGAATGTTTCTTTAAAATACTGTATCACAATGTGTCATCACAAATATGTTAATTACTTACTTGGCACAATCATACAAATCACAACAGTAACACGTTCCACTGCGAACTTTCATATTACAGGACTCTGTTAGTCCTTGACAGGGAACCTACAAAACAGTTGATCATCTTTTAGAATTAAGACAAGCATTTTCACATAAACTACTATTTTAATACCAATTCATGATCTCAAAAAACTCTTTAAATACAACTAAAATAAGGACTTCTTGTTTTTATCAAAGTAATTTTTAAAAACAACTAATTCATATTCATAAGTTAGGAATACAAACATTTGCTGTTAAAAAAAGTGAACTTTACCATAATTTCAAAAAAGCCAATTTAATTAGAGAATAATACAACTTGTATTATTAAAACGAATAGAAACGGAGTATATTTTGTACACTTATGAATTTTTAATGTCATTTATAATTGGATGTAATTTCTGTTCAAATTCATGTTAAATGTATGAGCAGTGTCACGATCATAGCAGTGTGATATGGCTGTATATCAGCACTTGCAGGAGAGATGCATTAGTGTCCCACCAGTGACAATATACAGCCATATTGCACTGCTACAAGGGTAATATTGCATTTATACAACAGTTCAACAGCATAATTGTGTACCTAAAAAAGAAAATCAAATACAGACAGTCTAAAAACCCTTTTGTATGAGGAACTACTTTCTTCCATCATTCATTCACATCTGCAGCTGACGTCAAACAGCCAAAACCATTGCTAGTACACTAGCATCACTTTAAAGCTAGTATTTGAATGATTCTCTAGTGTAATTTCTAAAGTGATGACAAAAACTGGAATATTTGTCAAACTGTAGTGAGTCCACATGTCACTCTATGTGGACAGAGTAATACAGGAGGGTGAGGAGGCTGTATGAGTGCTGTTATTGCAGAATATCGCAACAATATCAGCTAATCATATTCGAGAACCAGACAGAACTGTTGTATAAAATTAAATAACCATCAGAGTATGTTTTTAACCCACCAAACCAAGCGACAATGTATAATGAGTAAAATGAGACTAAGGTAGTCCTTGAGGGCACTCCAATCACCTCTGCCGGTCACCTGGACTCAATTTCCCATAACCATTTGCACCTCCACAGCTGATGATCTTTACCTGACTATGTCCTTGATCACTACGCCCCCTTTTCACAGTTATGTTTTGTTTGAGTTTACATGGACACCAACAATCCAATTTTAATATCATGAGGACAATACTCTGATTAAGAGTCTACCATATAAACAACGGATTTTAATTCATTTAATTTGATTAAGGTCATAATCGAACTAAACAGAAATCAAATGAAGACATGTGGAGTATGCCGTTTTAGTGGCTTTATTGAAGTGCAGTACGGACATGCAACAACCACAATTAAACTGTTACTACAAATTATTCTATCGTGTAGAATTTTTGCCGCATTTTTTGACAGGATAGTCTATACACATGGCTGTTTGACACTATTCTCTGCACCTACCAGACCACAGACACTTGCGTTTCGAAATACTGAAGCTTTTTTTTTCCATTCTGCATGCGGTATCAAATTCAAAAAATGAAAGTGAAAGTGCCGAACTGCAGTTAAAGTCAACAAATGAAACATTAAACACTCGAAATTACATGAAACTCCAAAGGAAATGTGGATAGCGTGGTATTACATGTAAAACAGGATCATGAAAGGAACATTCAAAAAGTAACTGTATGTAAGGTGTAAACACCTTAATCATAATTGTGTTATTCAGATTAAGGCAGGGCATAATTTGTGCCGGAACAAGCCAGATCTAAATCCAGCACCTCATTTTCCGATCTCCCTCCTCACATCATGCTCTTCCACCCTGCTCTTCACTTTCATCTGTGACTCCCCTACTGTCACTTACGTCGTCGGCAACAACCCTCCCATCCCACTTTTGTCCCTGACACCTCCCCCTCCTCTGGTAACATGCCGGATCTGTTCCGGGACCTCACGATTCACAAATTAAGCACTGGATTAAGGCAAATAACTAATGCCCATGTAAACGTAGTCATTGTTTGATAAATGCTGCATTTTGGATCCCTACTACTTCGTCTTCCACTGACGCTTCATGTCCATAACACTAATAAAATGGTAGATGAGTGTAAAAGATTCATTCATTCATTCATTTTCTTGTAGGCGTAGTCCCTTTATTAATCCGGGGTTGCCACAGCGGCATGAACCGCCACCTTATCCAGCAAGTTTTTACGCAGCGGATGCCCTTCCAGCCACAACCCATCTCTGGGAAACATTCACACACACTCATACACTACGGACAATTTAGCCTACCCAATTTACCTGTACCACATGTCTTTGGACTGTGGGGGAAACCAGAGCACCCGGAGGAAACCCACGCGAAGGCAGAGAGAACATGCAAACTCCACACAGAAATGCCAACTGAGCTGAGGTTTGAACCAGCGACCCAGGGACCTTCTTGCTGTGAGGCGACAGCACTACCTACTGTGCCACTGCCTCGCCGAGTGTAAAAGATAATTAAAACAAATTAAAAGATTAACTTTGGATCTGGCATCACTACAAAGTGTACTTTTTTAAAAGTATACACAAATGTCTTAAGAAATATATTTATATAGTTATCAGTCTTCAAACACACTTATGAGTGAACTTAAAATTAATAACTATTATTTTACCTGCATGTAGTTTACTTTATTTTGAGATTTAAAGTACAAGTGCGCATTTAGAACAATGAACCACATCTCTTTTTTCACACAGGATGTTTGGCATATTATCAATTATCTTTGACTCACTGTAGCGTAGTAGTTTTCATAGATGTAACTGTTTCCACTGGTGTAGAACTGACATCTTCCTGCCTTCATGGGACGCATATCCTGTCGGCAGATTGTAAGAAATATCTTCAGATTGTCACTTTTTCAATGACAAGATACAGTAGAAGGCTGTTTGTCTGGAGATGTTCATAGTGGACATTTCCCATCACCACATCTACAGCATTCCCTCATCGTTCTTCTCCTTATCGGCTGCATCTGTGGTGTTTGACAGATCTTTTTACAAAAATACTGAATATCGCCAACATCAACAGGACCTTCTCATTCCTCCAAATGAAATGGATGCATTTTGACAAAGTCATAACTTAAGTGAACAAGCAAACAGCATGGTGTTCTATTGGCATTCTTAAATATCTTTTGTATAATATTTTAAAGGGCAGATGTTATTGTTTTCCATCATTTGATTATTATTTATAGATATAGATGTGTAAATTGTGATGTTTAGTTTGTGAATTAATTTCTTTATGCTGCCGTCTTTACCAGGTCTCACTCGAAAAAGGCATAGTAATATCTCAACATGTCTTCCTGCCTAAAAAAAAGAAATAATAATAAAAAATAATAATAATTTTGGTTGTTAAGCTGCTTTGAAATGTTTATGGTACTCACAATGTTGAGCAGAATGAAAACGCCATCAATCAGAAGACACAGGAAGCTGGAAATTATCCCAAAACTCAGGAACACGATGGATGCAACTAACTGGACAGAAAAAAATACGAATTTATTACAGATTTAAATATGAATTTGAACTTCAAAATATCCATCCATCCTATCCAAATATACATCCAAAATAGATGCAGTCATGATCATTTATTTTTGTGGATTTCTTCCGAATTAGTTGTTATGAATTAAGTATAAATTGCATTTTATTACAATGTTCATAATTCATAATCAGTTTTAGCCTATATGCACTTAGGTAATAAAGCCTTACTGACTCTACAATAATGATTCAATACCATATATAATAAAGCACAAGGCTGTAAACTGCCATAACACACTCCTATATTTCCTTGTAATGTTGTCATGGTCATGCCGTTTAGGCTGCTGCCATATATTCCATCTAATATATCAAAGATGAACAAAAATCTCAGAGGATTACAACCTCGAATCAGAAAAAGCAGGACAGTATGGAAAATGCTAATAAAAAAAGAAAGCAGTGATTTCCGTAGTTACTTGTACTCGACTTGTATTCCATTGAACACAATTTGAACATATCATGTTTTGTCTGGTCAACTTCATTTAATTTGTAAATATACCTCCTTTCCTGTCATTCAGACCTGCAATACATTCCGAAAAAAGTTGGGACAGGAGCACTTTTGGGCTAGTAATCAGGTAAACTGGTTAAATATTGATGTGATTTGAAACAGGTGATTTCAACAGGCGAATTATGATATGGTACAAAAGCAGCATCCAAGAAAGGTTTAGTATTTTAGGTGCAAAGACAGACTGAGGATCACCAATTTGCCATCAAATACATGAGAACATTATAGAGGAGGATACAGGTACTTGACTGTCCTGTCTGCAGTACTGACCTGTCTGTAATTAAGAATGTGTGGTGCATTTTGAAGTACAAAATGCAACAACGAAGTACTGCTGCCCAGTTTAAGACTTGTTTGCAGTAAGAATGGGACAAAATTACACCTGAAACACTTCGCCATTTGCTGTCTTTAGTTCCCAAACATCTTTTAAGCATACATCCCCGTATGTAAGGACCTGGTGGAAGACGTACGATTTCTGGGAGATTAGCATTCTTTTGCGGGCATCCGGGAGTCTCTATGCATTTGCGGGAGACTCCCGGAACTTCCGTGAGACTTGGGATGTCTGTTTAAGTGTTGTGAAAAGAAATGGCAACATTATAAAGTGGTAAAAGCTTTATTGACTGGCCTGCCTACAGTCCCGACCTGTCTCTAATAGAGAATGTGTGGCACAGTTTGAAGTGCAAAAAAGACCCTGTACTGGTTCCCACCTTAAGACTTGTTTGCAGGAAGAATGGGAGAAAATTACCCCTGAAACACTTCATCACTTGCTGTCCTCGGTCCTTAAACATATTTTAAGTGTTGTAAAAAAGGAATGGCAACATTAAAAAGTGGTAAAAGCTTAATTATTTCAACTTTTTGAAAATGTGTTGCAAGAACCAAAACCGGAATGCGTGTTTATTTTGGTTTTGGATTTTTACTAAAGCAACAAAAATAATGAGGAACACATAAAATAATGTTTGTTGTATTGTCTGCAATTAAATACAAGTCAAAATAAATTTAGAAATGACTTCTTTCCTTTTTTATTTGCGTTTTTCATATAGTCCCAACTGTTGCTCCTCTGAAGTTGTAGAACAACATGAGAGTGAGCAATTATTAACAGAATTTTACTTTTTTGGGTTGGCTACCCCTTTACTTCAAAATAGCACTGCAAAATTTACATTCACAACTAAACATCTCTGCTACAAGTGCACATATTTAAAATATCCACATAAACAGAGACGCTGCCTTATCCAAAGCCTATAATATTTTAATGTGGTTCCTGGGAAAACTACTGCGGCTTTGAAACCAGCAATGATTTACATTTAACCGACTGCAATGGCTCAATCAAATGTCATCATTTATTTATTTGAACATGCAAGATGATATCCAGAGGGACAAACCTCCGGTCAGCTGATCAGAGACAGACTGCTGCCAACAGAAGCTAAACACCCAGACAGAGAGACAGATGCGCGTCAAGAGAAGAGAGAGGAAATCAGCAGAGACAGTAAAAGAGTCTGTAAAAGGTCAATAAAGCAGCAGAGATAAGGGCAACAGCAAGGAAGATTAAAGGACTAAGGTCCACGATGTTTACAATTTCCTGTAGAGTAACATACAGAAGTTCACCAGTAACTTACTGTAAATCAATTAAAGACTTCTGATGACACCCATTCAATCGAGTGTTAAAATTCAAATCGGTTGGTTCTGTTCACCAAAGTAGCATCATTTGCGGGCCCTCAGGTGTTTTCTCCATAGTAAACAAATAAATAAAAATTTTGCGGCGGCGACGACATTACATGAAGACTGAAATAAAATTTTGGGGTGAATTATAACTTATATTTACAATATGCTGACTCTTTCAGCGACATTTGAAGGTGTCCAAGTGGCTCAGCAATGAATATAAAGCAATATGAAGACTCCTGAACTTGACAGTATAACTGGCTAAATTGTAGAGATGCTGGATTAGGATCATGTGGGGTCGAACTGAGATCACATTCTTTTTTCGATTAATCGTGCAGCTCTAATATTAATAATATTCCAGTATAAAAAAATAAATACCGATTTTGTAATACTAATATTAATACTATTATGATCGTATAAACAAATATTTAAGGTCCTATTGCACATTCAAAGCATGGTTCTTTATAGAACGTTTCACGAAAGGGTTCTGATTTCACCTAAAATGGTTCTGCCATTGCTACAAGCCGATAATCCTCTTAATTTGTTACTGTTTAGAACTAAATGTTTACTGTTTCATCTCACTGTTGTTTGTTGACAGTGAAACGGCCCCACATAAACAGATTAAGAGGTCCTTTTGGGGGTTTTATTAACACAAAGACAGGGGCCCCATTCTGAGTTGCTTAGGGCCCCTAGAAGACTTGGATCTGCTCTTTGTCTTTAAACGTTATGACATAAGATCAGTGATATAACTCTCCACATGGCAGTGCTATTATACCACAAAATCTTAAATACTCAACCATTGGTCTAGTTGACTTCAAAATTGGCATGAATGTTTCTGTGAGAATAGCATGGGAAAGGTTAAAACATAAGCCACAACAATCTCTGGGTTTATATAGTCTAAAACTATTTTTCTTTATTACATTGTAAATTCTTTCGTTAATTTAATTTACACTACTTAACAGACAATAAATAAATAAATAAAAATCAGTATAGCCAGCTACCCTAGTAGCAAAGAATTCTGGCCCAGATTTGGCATAAAGCTGGCACAGCAGGCATTCATCCGGAACTGGCATACAGCATGTGGGCCAAACATGGCCCGGGTTTGGCAGAGGTGGCACCGTCATTAGGGCGGCACACAAGATTTGGGCCAGATGAAAAATGTAGTATTTGGCCCAGATTTAAAAATATGATAAGTGGGCCATGTGAGTTTGGCCAGTCTTGACCCACATTTAAAATACACTAAAATCATTTTTGAATAAAGAAAAAAAATTCTACCTATCAGGTCACTTTGAGAAAAAGCCTGCCCAGAGTGTGCCTAAAGAGCATGACTCCATGGGTTTATCAATTTCATTGCAATCGTGACACGCCAACCTATCTGGCCCAGTTCAGGCCCAGTTATGAGTTATTAACTTGGCTGAGACTTGGCCCAGATATGGTCTGTGTTTGGCCCTTGTCTGGAAGCCAGATTTGGTCCAGTCATGTACCGCAATTCACTGCGGCATGTGGGCCAAGCAAAACCTGATTGTGTGGGCTAGAGCTGGGCCAGAGAAATTTTTCTATGTGGGTAGCTAATCATTATGCAGTTGGAAATGCCACAATTGACTATTATTGTGTCTTACAGCTCAAGTTACCAATCAAATTAAACCAAACATAATTAAAAACCCTTTAAATATACCATTATCATGCACTAGCAGACAAGCTACCAAAAATAATGGAGAGCAACTTCTCTGACCTAAGTAAGTGGTCATTTAATTGCTGCAATAATAGCAACTAGGTTTAAGATAGTGACCCAGAAAAACGCATTATCTTAAAGAACATTTTCAGATGGTCGCTGAAAACTTTACTCTTACACAACAGCCACCAAATCATATAGACAACATAGAATTATTGTGGAAATTCTATTGTTTTTTTTTTCCTTCGACGGCTGAAAAGTGCACACAAACTTTAATAATGGTCACTGAATGTGATTTTTGTTTTACTGAACAGTCATTTAAACTTTAAACCTCTTTATGAGTACTTTTCATGTACAGCTATTAATGCGTCATTTGCTTTTAATTATGTGATTATAAGGCTCCAAAACAAAGTTCGGCATATGTCAAGCAAAGTTTTATTGACGATTAGGTAATGTATCATGTTTTATCAGCAACCTTTAAAGAATTTATTTTAGGGAGTTGTGTTCTATTAAGATGAAATAATTGTTTAGTGGTGCCAGGAAACGTATAGCGCCAAACATTCAAGCGTTCCAGTTATTTCACCAAGCAGAACATGTAAACAAAACTCTACACTGAATAAATGACTTTTACTTGCTTGTTTAAACTACGGGTGGCACGGTGGCTCAGAGGTTAGCACTGTTGCCTCACAGCAAGAAGGTTCCTGGTTCAAATCCCAGCTTGGTCAGTTGAAATTTCTGTGTGGAGTTTGCATGTTCCCCCTTATGTTGGCATGGGGTTCCTCTGGGTGATCCGGGTTTCCCCCCAAAGTCCAAAGACATGTGCTATAGGTGAATTGAATTAGCTAAATTGGCCATAGTGTGTGTGTGAATGTGAGGTGTATGGGTGTTTCCCAGTAGTGGGTTGCCGCTGGAAGGGCATGACAATTATAATATAGTATTTAAGTTTATAAATTCATTAATTTATTCAATTCTATCTAAACAAAAAAACTTACCAGCTTCTAAAGATAAGCCTACAATACTGATGTATTAACAACACATCAATTATTAATATTGACCATTTCAATGTGGTGTTGTCACTGACCCATGAACATTTCCTGCTTGTTATCAAACTA